TTTAAATAATTTTTTTTTTTAATAATATTCGGGACCTGTCAAATGTTTGGGAGCTTTAAGGGACCTTCAGAGCAAATATAAAACTTAGTAAAAAATATTTTTGAACTATAATATGATAGTCGAATTGGAAAATTTTCAATTAGCTATGTTCTCAAAATAGATTAGCATACTGAACAGCCCTAATATATATATATATATATATATATATATATATATATATATATATATATATATATATATATATATATATATATATATATATATATATATATATATATATATATATATATATATATATATATATATATATGTATATATATATATATATATATATATATATATATATATATATATATGTATATATATATATATATATATATAAATATATATAAATATATATATAAATATATATATATGTATATATATATGTATGTATGTATGTATGTATGTATGTATGTATGTATGTATGTATGTATGTATGTATGTATGTATGTATTCATGTTTGTATATATGTATGTATGTATGTATGTATGTATGTATGCATGTATTTATGTATGAATGTATGTATATATGTTTTTATGTATGTATGTATTTATATATACATATATATATATATATATATATATATATATATATATATATATATATATATATATATATATATATATATATATATATATATATATATATATCTTTAGGGTGCAGTGGAGTGATGTTATTCTAAACATTTTGCCGCAAGTTCCAAAACTCATCTTGATTACGTGGCACTTTACCCCTGATTGTCCTAAACAAAATTTCCCATGCATGTTCAATGAGATTTATATCTAAGCTCTGAAGTAGTCGTCATTCCATTTGCTCAACACCCTTATTGTGTGAGAAATTGCACGCTCTCTTAGTTTTATGGCAAGGTGGATTATTTTTTTGGAAGATAAAGGTACCTCTTCAGTCATAAAGCTCTCTGTCTTTAGGTAGCATGTGATTTCTTAACACTTGAATGTATTGGTCTAGATTCATGTTGGCTCTGCAACGGTACAAATGACCAACCCCAGGCCAGGACCTGGAATGAACTTTCGTCACTCCGCAGCACTTTTTTTCGAATCGTCTCAAATCCAGCTTCGATAAGCAGTTTCAAGTCTAGCCTTCGGTGACAATTTAAGGCTGTAAGAAGTGGTTTTTTTACAGCTATATAAGCTCAAAGCTCCACTATTTGCAGCCAATTGCGGAAAGTTCTATCTGTAACATTGATATCATGATCATCAGACATCAAAGCTTGTATTTCCACAGCAGATCGGCGGCGGTTCTCCAAACTGAGGCGGACAAAGGTCCAATCCTCTCAAGGTGTTGTCTTCTTCGACTGTCCACTTGTACACCTATCTTTTAATTCCACTGTTCCCTATCGTTATTCTTGTCACTGTGTTCTTCGAAATCTTCATCTCTAATGCAACTTAGCAGTAACTTTTGTGACTCTTAATAACTTTAGCTAAATACCAATATAATAATTATTGTGCAACATATGGAAAATAAAATTATGGTTAGTACAAACATTACACAATATCAACCTATTTATCTCAAGACTAAGAATGCCAAACTGTACAACAATGACTAATGTTCGCAGTCTAATCATTTAAATTGTTAAAATTAAAACACTTTACTGAATGAACTCTAAAACTAATATGGATATTATTCTAGCCTGAAATGCAAGTATTGAACAATCTGACATTAGTGATTCAAAATATGAATATTGATTTATTATTCATAATTGTTTGGAATAGTTAATTAAAATAACTTCAACACACACACACACACACACACACACACACACACACACTAACTCTGTGTGTATGTGTGTTTGTCATTGGAAGAAAACCAAATCAGCATAAAAGAAAAACAGCATTCCGAACCACGATAGCTATAACCAGTAAATAGCGCCATTATGGCTATAAATAGCTAAATAATTATATGGCGACTGTTTGGCGTCTGTTTTTTATTTTTGTATTTTAGCGATACCTAGCGGTAAAAGTTTAAAAGTTTTTGGGCTCTAATGGCAGGTTTTTGGAAAGAGCCTCCAACCCATTAACTAAGGCACTGCTAAAACCTGTTTTTTGCGTGAATGGGATACCTGAAATACTCAAGACAAACGTGTAAGTGATTGCATGTGTGTGCATAGAAAGACACTACACCATACATTCTTTTATGTTGGCAAACTAGGATCTTAAGCAAGAGTTTTAACTTCTTTTTTGGCTAGCTGACCTATTATAGACAACAATGATACAGTATGGTTGTTTTTTTTTAAGTTGTTATTTATTCAAAAACATTTAGTTACTAACAAGTTTTTATTCATTGTGATAAACTTAAAAGCGTTTAACTCCATGAACTTAAAGGCGTTTAACTCCATAAACTTAAAAGCGTTCAACTCCATAAACTCAAATGCATTCAACTCCATGAACTTAAAAGCATTCAACTCCATGAACTTAAAAGCTTTTAACTCCATGAGCTAGGGTTGAAAAAAATAGTATAAATATCTCAAAATTTATTAGATTTAGAAAGTCTAAAAAGAATATTTTGATTTAATACATTGTTTAATTTACTGTTCCAATATTGAATTCAATCATTCAATCAATATTGAATTCAATCATTCAATCAATATTGAATTCAATCATTCAATCAATATTGAATTCAATCATTCAATCAATATTGAATTCAATCATTCAATCAATATTGAATTCAATCATTCAATCAATATTGAACTTAATCATTCAATCAATATTGAATTCAATCATTCAATTAATATTGAATTCAATCATTCAATTAATATTGAATTCAATCATTCAATCAATATTGAATTCAATCATTCAATTAATATTGAATTCTATCATTCAATCAATATTGAATTCAATCATTCGATCAATATTGAATTCAATCATTCAATTAATATTGAATTCTATCATTCAATCAATATTGAATTCAATCATTCAATCAAAGCATTCAATCAGCAAAAGTTAAATAAGTATTTTCTATTCAAAAATATCCATGTAGACTTATATATTAAAAAAATATTTATAATCGCTTAATTTTTTATCTATAAATATAATAACAGTTGATTATGAAATATTTTGATAATGAATTTATGCAAAAAAAAAGTGAACGAAAGCATCATTTGGTAAGGGTTGAAAAAACTTTTCCGCACTTTATTTCCTCATTTTACCAGTTGAAAGATTAGCATTTTACCTGATCGAAAAAATTATTAGCAAGTTTTCTGAGTATAGAATAGCATACCGAGTGCTAATACTGAAAAACACTTTTCAAATAGCAAAAATTCAAAATAAAAAAATCCTTCAAGTTTGATATAAGAAATAAAAAAATTTAAATCATTAAATTATTTATTTTTAAATGAGCATTGAATTTCGTATATTAGTTTTATATTTGTCTTGGTTAGAATTGTCAATACATCTAAATGACAATTGCTAAACTTACATAAGAAATACTATTTACTTATCTTAATTTAATCTGTACAGAATTTTATCTTTTATATATTGTATTGAAGTTTTACATCATATATTTACAATCTTATTTTTAACTTCTGGTTATTTTTTTATTTATTTATTTTATTTATTACATATTATTATTTCTTTTATATTATAAACCATGATATCTATCTATCTATCTATCTATCTATATATATATATACATATATATATATATATATATATATAATATATATATATATAGTATATATATATATATATATATATATATATATATATATATATATATATATATATATATATATATATATATATATATATGTGTGTGTATATTTATATATATATATATATATATATATATATATATATATATATATATATATATATATATATATATATATATATATATATATATATATATATATATATAAATATATATATATATATATATAAATATATATATATATATATATAAATATGTATATATATATATATATATATATATATATATATATATATATATATATATATATGTATATAAATATATATATATATATATATATATATATATATATATATATATATATATATATATATATATATTATATTATATTATTATAGTTAAATAATATTATATATTATTTATTATATATTTTATATTATTTCATTTAAAACCTTATTTTTAACCAACAAAAAGTTGTGGTGACTTAAGTCATAAATATCTTCTTTGAGCTCCCGCCTGTTTTTATAAATCCTCTTTTTTATGTAAAAGTTTCTTTGTATTTTTATTATCTTGTTATACGTACAGCAATATATATATGTCACCGCTGTAAATAACAATAATATCAAAAAGAAACTAGCCAAGAATTAAAAACCAAATGTTGCATTAATATACTACCGAAAACTCTTTGACGACATTAAATTAGGAGAAAACTGAATTATGTGCTTTGTGTGTTATTTTTAGGCTTACGAGACTTGCACAAGTATGGATTTAAATGGCGGCAAAATTTATATGTGACTTCTGTGCTATTGGCTGAAGTGCAATTTATTTAATATTATGTATCTTTTATACACAAGTACTAACATATTTATATTATAACTTGTGTATATATATATATACTAACTTGTGTAATTGTGTTATGTTAAAGTGTATTTATAATAAATAAAAGTGCAGTACTATAATTTCACATTTTGTTTCAGCTAACTTCATCATTTCCTCAAACTAAGCCCAAAAACCGGGCTCGTTAAAAAATTTATTTCGAAGCACTTTAATCAAAGACATATTTATAAAAAAAATCATAACTAACCTAAGTCTCCGCATATATGTTTTTTGAAAACTGTTCGCAATAATATTAGTTTAGTTAAGTTTATTATTCACATCGTTTACCATGTTATTATGTTATAGTAATAAAAAAAAATTAAGCATTATCAGCAAATATAATTGCTATTCTTTTTAAGGATTAAAAAGATTATTAACACACAAAAAATTTATTTTGTAATTTATTAAGTGGTTGGATTTAACACTCCTTTTATCGTTATTGCTTATGTGTTAATAAAAAAAAATGTAAACAAAAGTAAAATGCATAAATGCTTCTAAAATTACTAAACTTAGATTACAAAATTCTTAGTTTTTGGTTTTTACAATATTTTTGTGAGAGTAAAGATCTTTATTGTGTAAAAGTGAAAACTTTAAGAGATATCCACAGAAAGGGGTTTAAAGTAACTTTTCTATCATTAAAGGAGATATAACAGGTATGTTATGTAAATTTACAGTTAAAGATAACGGATATACCAATTGGATTTTTTTTTCCTATGATACTCCAATTATTAATTTTTTTATCCCCTGATGCTCTAACTATTAATTTTTTTTTTATTAAGTTTTTAAGAAGGTCGATTACACTAAGTAAAGCTATCTAGCTTTACAATTAAAAGGTTGGTTCTTCAACTATGGACAAAATTTTTATCAATAGAAAAGCTTATTTTTATCATTAGAAATCAAATAAATAATATAATGCTAAAATAAGTTCTAATGGTGTTGTTAAAGTAGCTGAAAAATTTGTTTTAAAAACAACTGAAAAAAAATGAACTCAAGAAAAATAAACAGACTAAAAAAGGGGAAAAAAACAATGCAAATAAGATCTTGTAACATTTTTCTTACTTAATGACAATTCAAGTTGACTGAAAATAGACAAAATACCCGCCTTAAATGATAACTAGAAACTACCTTTTATTTCTATTAATAATACTGTAGAATTCTCTTCAAGGTTTAAAATTTCATATACTGCAACATTATTAAGTATTTTCTGCTTTTATTTCAAGACCTATTAAATCTTTTTTATGCATTTGTTCTAGCGTTTTTATGTTTGATGTGTTCTAACGTTTTTATGCTTGATGTGTTCTAATTTTGATGTAGTAGTGTTGCAGCATTAAGATGATGCAAACAAAAAATATTTCATCAAAGGGTGGTAAAACAAACACCACCACTTTAACCCCAGACAGCAAGGATATAGATGTCCCACACTGGTCCTGTATAGGCAGCCGCGCTGGACCGGCTTTGGCTGCCAACGCTTGAAAATCTCCGTTTTCTTCTTAAGATTTTTCATGGACCAGCCGTGGCTAGCCAGGGGGTTAGTCAGCGATGGCAAAACAGCAGCTGACCAGTGCGGGACGAGAACTGGCAGAACAACGAGTAACTATTTTTACATACATGTTTTACGTATGCATTTTACCGTACCATCGTGATTTTGTCTTTGTTAACTAACTGGGTCGTACATGTAATTGTTATGGATTTTCATTGGGCAATCCTATTTGAAGTCCCTATATTTTCTATTTAGACCCCGTCTTCTTAATTATTTAAAGTTGTTTTTAGCATACCCGACTGTAACTTTTTGGTTTATATTGGTGTATTTTTCATTAGTTTAAGGACAATAAAATGTATTAAACACATAATTATTGAAAATTTTGATTATTATGATTAAATTTAAAAAACAGATTTTAAAATATATTTACGCATTAATAGTACATCATTATTTAGACATCACCTTGAATATTGAACGTAATTAAGGAGTTTACAAATACCGAAATGTGTTATTATGATTGAACAACTTTAACATAGAGCAATTCGTGTATAGTTTAAAAGATTTATCATGTAAAAACTCACTAATAAACCTTTCCCTCCACATTAAAAATTAGAAGATCAAGAGGTGATGTGATATAGCTATACAGAACTATTAATGACTTGGAAGTAATAAATTGGCATAATGCAAAACATCACAAAAAACAACAATAAATGATATATAAACAATAATCCTAAAAACCAAATGGTCAACATTATTTTTCATAAATAGAATGGCTGACAAATAAAACCATTTATAACTAGAAGTTGTGAAAGCGATAAAATATAACTTAGTTATATTTTTAACACTCTATGATAAATATATACAAAACTGTGAAAAGCTGTTAAAGTCTGGCATCTTCTTTTGTTATACTATACACTAAAAATGTGTATCTCAACTTTTTTGGTTTATTTACTGTATATATAAGTAAATAAATTAGTACATTTATTTGAAAAAAAAAATCAAATAATGGTTAAACTCCTAAAAAAAAAGAAAAAAAAATCAACAACAAATTATTCAACTTATTATGTTAAAAACACTTATATTTTCAAATCTAGATATATAGACTTGGTAACCATTTAGTGCTTCATGTTAGTAATACTTAGGTATCCGTTTTTTGACTTCAAAAACTTTGTATAACACAATAACATCCTTATACTATTTTTTTTTTTTTTTTTTTAATTTGCATTTACTCCCAACAAGGCTGCAAGCAACCACTATTAAGTTGGGAGTTACTAGGTAAAAAAAGAACAGAGTTATAGAGCAAGGAAACGGTTGACAGAAGACTTGAAAAGTTGAAGGTTGTATGAGTCAGGAAAACATGAAGATGGGAGAGAGTTCCAAAGGATTGAAGTGCGGGGAAAAAAACTAGATGAATAAAAGTTTTTAGAGCATGCAGGGACAGATACAGTAAACGAATGAGATTTAGCTGAATGATGAGTAAAACGAGAATGAATTTTAGTTGATGGAACTAGAGATGATAACTCCTTTGAGCAGTGACCATGATAGTATTTGTAGAAAAGAGAAAGAGATGCAACTTTACGACGATGGGAAAGAGGTTCAAGCTTAGCAGATAGTCCAGGTCCAACAACATTTACAATGCGTTTTTGGACCTTGTCAAGAAGAGAAAGTGAATCGTTAGAAGAACCAGCCCAAATATGACAACAGTATTCCATACAGGGACGAATAAGAGATTTGTAGAGGTAGAGAATGGAATCAGAAGTAAGGAAATGGCGAGCACGATAAAGAGAAGCAACCTTAGCAGAAGCTAATTTAGCAATCGATTTTATATATGGTTTCCATGAAAGGGCAGTAGTAAGCAATAATCCAAGAAGATGTAAAGAGGAGGACTCAGTAAGAGGATTGCCATTCATTAATATAGGAATGTTGACCATATTACGGTAGTTGTTTGCAGTAAGCAATTGGGTTTTTTTAGAGTTGAAATTCACAAGCCACTGTGAACCCCAATCTATTACTGAAGTGAGATCAGATTCAAGATCAGCTGCTTGTTCTAGGCGATCGAAAAGAGAAGACTTTTTGTCAAGACAGGAGTATAAAGTTGAGTCATCAGCAAAAAGAGCTACTTTAGATGAAAGGTTGTCAGGAAGATTGTTTATGTAGATAAAAAACAAAACAGGGTCCAGGATGGAACATTGGGCACCCCAGAAGTTACTGGAAATAAAGAAGAGTGTTGGCCTTCAAGGATGACTTTAATAAACCGGTTAGAAAGAAATGATTTGATAATCTCAAAAACTTTCCCAGAAACACCATTTGAAGCAAGCTTATAGAGAAGACCAGCATGCCAAACTTTGTCGAAAGCTTTAGATATGTCGAGAGCAATAGCCCTAGCCTTACCGCCTCTATCTAATGCACGATAAAATCTTTCAGTTACAGCAGTTAGCAAGTCGGCCGTAGAGCGAGAGGATCGAAAACCGTATTGATTGTCTGACAGTAGTTTATTTGACTCAAGATGAGATGTGAGGAATTTGTTGATCAAAGACTCAAAGACCTTGCTAATAACAGAAAGAAGACTGATGGGACGATAATTGGAGGGGTCAGAATTTTCTCCAGAGTTTTTGAATATTGGAACCACAGATGCCATTTTCCAACAAGCAGGAAAACAAGACTCAGTCAAACACTTGTTAAATAGTTTAGAGAGAATTGAAGAAAGTTCTAGAGAACAATTCTGCAAGACTGTGACAGAAATGTTGTCTGGACCACAAGCTGTAGACGAGTTTAGTTGAGATATGACCTTAGCAACAGAAGCCGGAGTGATTTGAATGTCTAACAATGGGTCAACCTGTTTGACTGGAATGGAAGGAAGAGAATGTCCATAAGATTCAAGAGTGGAATTAGAAGAAAAGTTCTTTGCAAATAGTTCTGCTTTATCCTTGGGAGAGGTAATAAGATCAGTCCCATAAATGAGAGATGGAATGTTAGATCTACCCTTGTTAACAATGCTGTTGAAGATTTTCCAAAAGTCTTTAGAGCCTAACTTCTGCGATAAGATGCGAGATTTAGTGAACTGAGAATAATGGAGTTTAGCATCAGAAAGCACCTTTTTACATCGATTTCTTGCAATAATAAATTGCCGTTTGTTCTCAAGAGAGTTGTTCTTTTGAAAAAGATGAAAAAAATGATTACGATTGGATATAGCAGCCGCACAAGAAGGAGAAAACCATGGAGTAGAATGAGGCTTGACTTGAAACCGACGCGAAGGAATAAAAGCTTCCCTTCCAGCGTGAATCCAGGAGGTTACGTAGGAGGTGCATTTGTCAGCTGAGAGAGAAAAAACATCAGCCCAAGGACCATCACGAAGAAAATCACGAAAGGAATCCCAGTCAGTTTTAGGGTAGTAGTAGGTGGTGCGATGATAACGTGAGCCCAAAAAAGAAGTACGAGAAGAAAGATTTATAGAGATCATTGCATGGTCAGAACCACCTAAGGGAGAAAAGGGAGAAACTGAACATAAGCTAGGGTCAGAGACAAGACATAAGTCAAGGAGTGAGGGTAAATGATTAGGGTTGTCAGGAAAACGAGTCACAAAGTTAACTATCTGAGTAAGAGATTGAGAAACGCAGAAGTTAAAGGCTTTAGTGCCAGCAAGATCAGTGGTGTTAGAGCCAAGCCATTCAGTGTGATGGGCATTAAAATCACCAACAACAACAATATTGGCAGAGGGGTAAAGAGAGAGGGCATGGTCAATTTGATCAGAGATAACATCTAAGAGAGTGCAATCATGGGAAGAAGGAGAACAATAAAGAACAAAGAGAAAGGTGATAGAGTGAAGAGGTGCTAGGCAAAAGCACATAAAAGAATGGTCAAAGGATTCGAACCTGATTTCACGACAAATAGGGGAATTCATGCGTATGTATACCCCTAAACCTCCTTATGTGGCCT